TGGAGGCTTTTCTTTTGGGGAGGGGGAAGTCGGGAGTGCCCCGGCTGGGACGGACCCTGACTGGAGCGAGCGGTTTCAGCCGTTAGCAAATCCGGCTTGATGGGCCATGTGCAGACTGTCATTGTTGGTTTGTTTGCCCCCCTCTCCCCCGGATGGAAGGAGTTGACCGGCAAGGGGAGAGGGAGGTTTTAATTTAATGAGGGTTCCCCTTGGCTTGGGGTACTTTTGGGGACCCCCTGGCTGGGGGAAAGCATTCTGGATCCCTCACCCCTTGTGTCTTCTTGCTCCTTCGGGTAGCTCCCCTTCAGCTAAAGCAGGGGTAGGCCACCTTGGCTCTTTTATGACTCGTGGACTCCAACTCCCAGAATTCCTGAGCCAGCCATGCTGAGGGGAAAGGGAGAGGTTTCCAAGCTGAGCCAGGCTGGCTCAGGAATTCTGGGAGTTGAAGTCCACATTGTCATGAAGGGGGCCATAGTTCCCCCATGCTGGCTCAGGAATTCTGGGAGTTGAAGTCCACGAGTCATAAAAGAGCCAAGGTGGCCTACCCCTGAGCTAAAGCAATTGGAGTGAAAAAAATACGTCACTTTAATTGGTCATTTTTAGAGGGGGGGCTGAGTTAATCAATCAGAATAGAGCTGGAAGGGACCTTGGAGATCTTCTAGTCCAAACCCCTCCTCAAGCAGGAGACCTTATACCATTTCAGACAAGTGGCTGTCCAGTCTCTTCTTGAAAACCTTCAGTGATGGAGCACCCATGATTTCTGGTAACCAGCTGTTCCACTGGTTAATTGTTCTCACTGTTAGGAAGTTTCTCCTTAATTCCAGGTTGCTTCTGTTTTTGATCAGTTTCCATCTGTTGTTTCTTATCTTGCCTTCTGGTGCTTTGGAGAATAGGTTGACCTCTTCTTCTTTGTGGCAGCCCCTCGAATACCGAGACACGGCTATCAAGTCCCCCCTAGTCCTTCTCGTCATTAGACTAGCCATACTCAATTTCTGCAATGGTTCTCATGTTTTAGTCTCCAGGCCTTTAATCATCCTAGTTGCTCTTTTCTGCACTTTTTCTATCTTTTTTTGTAACATGGTGACCAAAACTGGATGCAAGATTCCAGGTGTGATTTTGCTAAAGATTTATAAACCAGTACTAATCCTTCACGTGATTTTGTTAGTCTAGAGCAGGGGTCTTCAAACTTGGCCCTTTTATGACTTGTGGACTTCAACTCCCAGAATTCCTCAGCCAGCGTGTCTGGCTGAGGAATTCTGGGAGTTGAAGTCCACAAGTCATAAAAGGGCCAAGTTTGAAGACCCCTGCTCTAGAGTAGCCTCAAATCGGGAGTCTAGGAGCAGCACTTTTTCCCAGAGTTTTTATTAAAGGAACCAGAGGCAAAATGTTTCGGGAAAACTGCTACAAGTTCCTGATCATCTCTTCAAGGGTCATCAGTATCCCTCAAAAACCATCCAACTTGCTTCCTTCATTAGAAGTTCTCCTCTGAATGTTTTCAAACGTTGGTTTCCTTCCTTTTGATCCATCTCACCAAACTCTGCCTTTCCTGATTCAGGCTCCCAAAATTGTTCTTAATGTTTTTATGCCATGTTGTATATGAACAGCTTTGCTTGTTCTGTTTTTATTCTCCAAAAGTTAAAGTTCTAGTCCTTATAGAGGGATGAAAAGATGAGAAAAGACAGTTTTGCAACCAAAATTGGGACCAGAATTTTGCCTTAAATCATTGCAATTGCAATTTAAGTCGGCCCCAATTTTATAATATTTTTTTACAGTGGTCATTAAGCAAATCACACAGTCGTTAAGTAAATGCAGCTTCCTCAAATCAGTAACATAATCAAGCAACATAATCAAAGATCAAGTGATAGCAGAACCCAGCAACTTGTTGTAAAAGCAAGCCGGTTGCCAAGCACCCAAATCTTTGGCCATGTGATTGTGGGGATGCTGTGATGGTGTTGTGTCTGAGGACCAGTCACTTTTTCCAGCACCCTTGTAACTTCAAACAGTCGCTAAACGAAAGATTATAAGGCCATTAATTCCATATTTGCAAGGAAGTTCCCTTTTTCCTTTATTGCCGGAGCACAATGCTTTATCACAAAAACATTTTCCACTTTGAGCCTGCAGATTAAAAGCGAGGACAGGATGCAACGGGAGAAGTTATCTTACTCAAATAAGATCAATACCTTCATCGCCTGCCTTCCTTCGGTAACTTAATCAACGGGAGAGCCGGGGGGGCCCAGACGAAAGTCTCCGTCAACACAAAAAGGGGCTGAAATAATTTACAGTCCCGGGGATGCCCAAGATTTTTCCCTTTTACATCCTGAGGATAAACGGCCTCTTTGACTTATTACTGATATTGAAATGAGGTATTTTGCAGTCCTGGTTTAGCCGTGGAGGCCATTAGCCGGAATCAGCCCTGCACGATCTGCTCTTTAACCGTAATGGAGCTCCAGAAACCCCAGCACTCCAGGTAGCGAGTGAGTGACAAGCATTCAAGGGCACGTAGATTAATCACCAAATGCAGATAGTCCTCGATTTAGGACAATTGAGACCAGAATTTATGTCGCTAGGTGAGACATTTGTTAAGTGTGAGTTTTGTCCCATTTTACGACTTTCCTTGCCAAGTTTGTGGCATAATTTCACACAGGCATGGCTAAAGGCTTCATTTTTTATTGATTTGATTGACTTGATTTTTTTAGCCCGCTTTGATTATTGTTTAACTCAAGGAGGCAGGCCTATTTAAGGCTCCTTCCTCCTTTCTGCTTCCCCTGCAACAACAATCCTGTGAGGTAGGCTGGGCTGAGAGAGAGGGACTGGCCCAAAGTCACCCAGCCGGTTTTCATGCCTAAGGCGGGACTAGAACTCACTGTCTCCTGGTGATTGGCCCAAAGAGAAGGGAAGGAGGATGATTGTGGGGTCCTTGGTGCTCTCTGAGCTGGGTGGTTTTCTTGCAGACATTTCATTACCCAATTAGGTAATATCACCAGTTCTAGAAGGAGGAGGGGTTTGCTCTATATACAAGTGGCTTGCCTTGTCAGCACTGATGGGAGTGTGGCTTTCTTCTTGGTGGTTCCGTAATTAGGCTGTTGTTGACCGATTATGTGTCCGAGTGGACAGTTCCTTAGCTGTGTCCCACAACACAGCATTTGACTATTGCCTGCTTGCCGTGTCCTGAACGACTCCCGAACTGCTTCCAAAAAACATCCGGATGGGGCTGGCCTTTGAAAAGCAAATGCCATGGAACTGACATCATTTCATCACTGCACAGAAAAGCCAGACTTCAAGGTTGTACGTTCCTCTCCCAACCGTTGGCAGCAGAGTCAAAAACCTGACAGCCGTCTATCAATAAATAAAAAAAACAATAGTCGTTCAAAGTCATCTGCTCTGAGGAGGGCTTGAATTAAATCTCTGAATGACGTCGAAACAAGGGCTCTAGTCTTGGATTCAGGAGAAGGGGGGGGGGGGAAGGGAATCTAAAAGTGTCCTTTTTATCCTTAACTTCTCCTTTCAAGCAACAGAAGCCAAGGGTGAATCTACATATTGAAACATACGAAGGTTACAGGAATTGGGTATGTCTATAATCTAGAAGAAGGATTAAGGGTGACACGAGAGTAGTGTTCCAATATTTGAGGAGCTGCCACAAAGAGGAGGGGAGTCAACCTATCCTCCAAAGCACCTAAAAGCAGGACAAGAAGCAACGGATGGAAACTAATCAAGGAGAGAAGCAACCTAGAACTAAGGAGAAATTTCCCGATAGAACAATTAACCAGTGGAACGACTTGCCTCCAGAAGTTGTGGGTGCTCCATCACTGGAAGTTTTTAAGAGATTGGACATCCACATGTCTCAAATGGCATAGGGTCTCCTACATGAGCAGGGGTTTGGACTAGAAGACCTTCCAATTCTATTATTCCACATTCTATGTTCTAGGTCTCGGTTCCCCAAAGCATTACATCTCTTGGATTGCTTAAAATGTAGCTTGCACATTTTCACACACCCCTCTGCAAGGAATTCAAGGGAATGTGAGCGATCATGCCCCCATCCTGATTTTCACAGCACCCTTGCAGCACATCTTAAAAGTCAAACCTCCATGTGCAATGAAAGACAATTTTAGCGAAAATTGTACCAAAGGAACATAAAAGATCAGATGTCCCGAGGCAGAACAGGACAAGTGTCTCTACGCGCCTTACGCACATCGGTTGCTTAATTGAAAGAATTGGCTCAAAACAAAACAAAAGAAAAGAAATGTCTAAACACTCTCAGCTTGGTAAAATGATAGATTGGATTTATTCCCCCCCCCCCTTCCAGGAATGAGTCAGGTCAATTTTGTTCCTCCTGCTTTTGGGACACTAAAAGATTTTATCTTCTGTAAATGCTGAGGTAGCAAAGTTAGGGAGGAGAAGAGGGACCACATTAATGACAAAGCTTATATCTTATTAAGCTTCGGGATTCCGAGGCAGACAGAAGGATGTCTGTAAATCAGCCAGCCATTACTTAATTAAGAGTCTTTTTTAATGGGCTGTTTGGAGACAGAGAAAATAATGGCACTGGGAGAGGGTGGATGGGGGTGGGAGAGAAGCAGAGCTTCTATTTTGTCCCACCACCCATCTCTCTTGGATTGCACTCTGAAGCTTGCTGAAGAAATCTATTTGAACATTTTTCTGTTCCTGCAGTTAATGGGGTCCCTAAATGCTGGATGATGGAGTCTATGCAGCAGGAAGGCCTGTGTACAGGGCCAGCATAGGCCACCCGTCAGGCAGATTGGCATCCCTTAAGCCAGAGCTGGGGAACGATGACCCCTTTATGACTTGTGGACTTCAACTCCCAGAATTCCTGAGCCAGCATGGCTGAGCCACAAGTCATAAAAGGGCCATGGTTCCCCACCCCTGCTTTAAGAAGGCTTCTCAATCTTGACAACTTTATGATGGCTAGACTTCAATCCCCAGCATCCCTCAGCCATCTTACACCTTTAATAAATGTATCTGATGAAGTGAGCTGTGCTTTCCAAAAGGTTACACCCTTTAATAAAAGTTGCATCCAACGAAGTGAGTTATGGTTCCCAAAAGGTTACACCTTTCAATAAAAATTGCATCGGATCACATGAATTGCAACGCATACATACTTACGCCTTTTTAATAAAATTTGCATCTGATGAAGAGAGCTGTGCTTAGCCCTTTCAGTAAAAGCTTAGCCCTTTCAGTAAAATTTGCATCTGATGAAGTTCGTAAAAGTTTGGCCATGGTTAGTCTGAAAAGAGGCTCCCAACCCCTCCTGCTTTTTGCCGACTGCAGACTAACACAGCTCCACTTCTCCAATCCAGCATCCCTGCCCAACCTGGACGGAAGGCAATTAAAGGGTCTCTTTGAGATATGTCAGATTTAGAAACCCGCCCAGGCTAGGAGAAATGGCAGGCAAGCAGGGGAAAAATGACACAAAACAGCAGCTACCTCTTTTAACCTTGAGTTGACCTTGCGGGAAATTGCAGCATCTTCCCCATTTCAACACCTCTTGGGTTTTGGCTTAAGCAGGGAAGCATCAGCTCAGATTTTCTGCAGGCAGGAATAATAATAAAAAAGAGGGGGGAGGCTATATAGCAGACACTGCAGAATTGCAGCCTTGTATGAATGAAAATTAAAAAGGAGGATGGGAGGGTGAGTTTGCAGAGTGGAAAGATGCTGAGAGAGCACTCCGTTACACATCTCCGCTTCTGTGCCAGATGTGGAAATGTTCCCAAAAGGTAGCTTTGGTTTGTGTTTTTTTCTCTCTAGAAAAATCAGCCTTGCAGAATTCTCTTGGGAACTTTCCCTATTTTGAGTGTGTGTGTGTGTGGTTGTTTTTTTAAATTGTTTTATTGTATTATAAGATGCAAGTAATGATTTGGGGACAGTGTTATTTACACAATATCAACTAGGGATGGTTAATACTATGATGACTGAGATTGTTTACAGCCTTTAAAGATAATGGGAGCGGGGAGTTTGTAAATATGAACTATGATTTCTGACATGTTATTGTTGATGACCCATCAGGTTGCTTCAGTTGTACATTTGGAGCTGAATATATTTTTCTCTAGAGGAAAGGAAGGTGGCCATGCAGAAATCTCTTGAGGTTTTTTTTTTTTTTTTAGAAAAGACATTTTATTCTATTTATCATGCAAGCAATAGATTATGTTAATGGGGCAGAGGTATTTATACAATATTCATGGACCGGGATTTTTAATTGTTATAAAAGCTTCAAGATAAGGCGAAGACTTTCTATGAACTATGGTTTCTGATGTGTTCGTGTTGAGGAAAGTCAGATTGCTTCAACTGTGTATTTAGAGCCGAATATATTATTTTTCTCTAGGGGAAAAAAGAAGGCAGCCATGCAGAATTCTCTTGGGGCTGTCTCCATTTTGGGGAGGGGGTTTGTGGTTGATGGCCTGAAGTCTTTTGCGGGATGCAAGGTGGGGTCTTGGAACTGAAGCTCCTGGCTGAGAATTTTGGAAGCTCTTGAAGGACATCTACGGTTGGTCAACCAACCTGGTCCAGCTCACACTTGCCTTGACCAGCAGCCTCAGTACCATCAGCTGCTCTCAAGAAGACCAAGGTCTTCTCCATCGTGGCCTCTGGAGACCCAGGCCACCCCAACAGACTCTATGGGCCCCTCAGAGCAGATCCTCAGAATGGCTAAGAACATTCCCCCCCCCCCAAAAAAAACACAAAAATCTCTATCTTTCTGAACTCAGCCCTCCCTTGCAAGGAAGATGCTTCAGAGAAACTCAAGTGGATCAAAACGGTTGGTGGGAGGAAGCGGACAGATGGGAACCAGACAGGATCATTAATCAATTCTGAAAAAAGAAGATTGGGGGGCTGGGGAGGAAGAAAATGCGGTTTTCTCCAACTAGAACTGCATTTGGTACTTCTCATATAAAATTAATCACTGATAATGCGCCTGGAAGCCTTTAGGGCAGTGGGAGAATCTCTCATTGGGAGAAGTAAGTGATGTGGACGCAAGTGATGGTTGCCTACCACCCCCTGGTGGTTCTTAGTAGCAATGAGTGTACCAGGAAATCTGTGTTTATGTGTGTGTGTGGCAGGCTGGGACAACATCTCAAGGGGAAGAGGGAACTGTTTCTGCTTAGCTCAGATGGATGAGGATGGTCTTCTTCCTTGTCCAAGTTCAAGGGAGGAGAACAAGGTGCACTAGAAGATGGAGGTGACACATGGAAGCGAAGGAGAAAACCTCGGTGGACTCCAGCTGCAATGAAGTGCAGGACACCAATGAAACTCTGCCCCAAGTTGAAGTTTGGGTCCAGCAGCCCGGGGATGATGATGATGATGATGGCCAGGGTCTTTCCTTAGAAGGTTCAGAATCTGGAGCCTTTGGGACCTAGAGGTTCTCCTGCCTGAACTACGGGCCTTCCTCTTCCTCCCCAACCTTGGGTAAGGCTCAAGCGGAGTGTCTCCTTTTCTTTATCCAGGAGAAGAATCATCAACCGTTCTCAATGGGCTTAGGTAGATCCCAAAGGCATCTTTCCTCCATCCGAAGACTGGTCAAGGCTTCAGTTTTACCCCTCCTCATTCAAGGAGGCTACAGCGTTAGGTCCTGATGGAGGGCAAGCTTGTTGCTGACCAAGGAACAAAATTAAGTCCATGTCACCACTCATCTTCTCCTGCAGCGCAAATAATTACAAATCTATTTGATTCCTGCAGTTAGCTTGGCATGAAAAGGCATGTAGCTGACTGCTGAGTTCTTCCAAATTCTTTTCTTGATTTCCCAGGCTAGTGTAGGATCCTGGGATTTTCTCTCATCCAAACACTGACCTTGCTTTGCTTGAGAACCAAGTTTAAGTCCCTGTGGACAGTCCACACTCCAGTTCTACACCAGTCCATCTTTTGGCCAAAATTCCCAGATGCGATCACAATGGGGATTAAGGCCGGAAAAACCATGGAAGCTTCCACAACACCTGGGAAGCAGAAATCCACCTCCATCTCCTGTTGACTGGAGTGGCCTTCTCCCCCCACCACAGATGCTTGGGGAGGGAGGGAAACCTCTGCTGTGAGGTTGCCTAGAGACCACAAAAGCAAGATGGCTTGGGAAAGGTCAGGCAGACCTATATTGCAGGGGTAGGACAGAGACAAACGAAGCAAAGCAGAAAAGTCACAACGAAAAGCTACTACAGACCCTGACTTATATAAAGCAGAAGGCCACATGGGGTCTGGTCCACAGGCAACAACAGGGTAGAGAGAGGGGGGCAATCAGCCATTAGAAAGAGACTGACCTCCTTATTCCACAGAAGTTGACCTTATGCAAGTAAACCCAGGTGTTGTCATCTCACCCCTTCCTGAGATGCCAGCAGAACAGACCCTCCTCACCCTGAAGTCTCCTTAAGACCTTTAACCTCAAATTCGGAGCCACAACCTCTAGCACAGAGGTCCCCAACCTTTTGGGCACCAGGGACCAGTTCCGTGGAGAGGTTTTTCCATGGACTGGAGGGGACGTGGTTTCATGTACTGCCTGCATCCCACAGATGCGGCTTTGCTTGTTTGCGTGAACCGGTTGCTGGCATGCCGCAGCCCAGTACTGGTCCACGGACTGGGGGTTGGGGACCCCTGCTCTAGAAAGTTGAGGAGAGCAAAGGCTGTTGGGGTACAATACTTAAAACCGATGAAGCTGCGATCTGTATTTTTTTCCCCACTTACCCCTCAGGGTGCCGTCGGCCAAACAGTGTCGGCTGGCGACCCCCAGGGGGAGGGCCTTCTCTGTGGGTGCCCCCACCCTCTGGAACGAACTACCCCCCGAGATCCGGATGATTCCGGATCTCCTTACTTTCCGCCGCGCCCTCAAGACATGGCTTTTCCAGCAAGCGGGCCTGACCTAAGGAGGATTTTATTTAGGGACG